TGCCCACCATGTGACTTATCGTATATTGACAACTGCTGGGATCACACACTTGTATTCAGTGATGTACCAAAATGTCACTTAGAACTTCTTACTTTTGCAGTCTCGTCTTTTATGAAGTATTTTGTGACCCTAGTAAAAAAAGCAAAAAACAGTTAAAGCAACACTCCAAACACACAAAGCATGTCTGCTTATGTTACTTTAAAGAAGTTGTTTTCTTGAAATTTTATATATCTAAAGGATGGTGGAAGTGTTTGTCTAAAACGCTATTGCCACATTTTGCTATTTGTTTAAAATAGATCTTTATTGATACAGCATGTGGATATAAAACACATTTTCATACGCTGAGGAATATTAAATATGAATTTAAGATGATCCAATAACAATATGATTATAGAATGTATTAAACAGTACAAAAAATGTGTATAGTGTTCTCTTATCACAAATGGCAGCTGTCCACTTACAAGGAGTTCCTACACCTGAACAACAAGCAGATAAATACAAACAAATGGTGATCCGCGCTTATTAATTAAAAAGGATTATGCATACAATCTACTAAGGAGGATAATTGTGAGACGTTTCTTTAACAAAGAAATGTACAATAGTGTAGTTCTGTAAGAAATGCAGTAGATGTAAAGACAGTGCCAATGGAACACTCACACTTTCTAGAGCACGGATAGGCAACCTTCGGCATTCCAAATGTTTGAGGAATAGGCAACCTTCGGCATTCCAGATGTTTTGGACTACATCCCCCATAATGCTATTACACCTATAATGCTGACAGAGTATCATGGGAGGTATAGTCCAAACCGTCTGGAGTGCCGAAGGTTTCATATGAATGATCCCCCACCCATGGATTTTGATGGATATACATTTAAAAACAGAACTCCACTGGATACTTAAAAAAAGTATTTTATTTAAAACAATAAAAGTGATTTCAAAAAAAAAAAAATGGGTTCTAACAAAATAAACTCTAAATGTATACCAGTCCACAGTGTAATTGAAAGTACAGAATCCTCAATTGACGCGTTTCGCCATAGCTTTCTCAAAACTGAAAAATGATAAATTCACTTTTGAGAAAGCTACGGCGAAATGCACCAACTGCGAAATTTGTTTATATTTATATAGGTCGTTAACCTGCGGACAAGACTACCGAAGATCACTGGAAAGCAACCAACCAAGGAAGTTAGTAAGCTGGATCAACTTAACAGAGATGGAAAGATCAAAGCTAGATCCTGGCTGCTGTGGAAGTACAAGTATATGCCCAAACCGGAGGCACTGGAAACATCTAAGCAAAGACTGACAGCACTGGCAACCAGACTGAGCAGATACACCAGAGAAGCAGAGGTGTATGCACAGCTACAGGGTAACCACCTCATCTCCTCGCAAGACCCACCCAGAGCTGATACTGAACAGTACTGGAAGAATATCTGGGAGCAAGAAGCATCTCATAACACTGAGGCCCAGTGGCTACCCGACCTGAAATCAGACCACTGCTGCCAGAACAGAACAGGAACCAATCATCATCGCAGTCGAAGATATCCAACAGAGAGCAGCACACACGAAGAGCTGGTCAGCCTCAGGACCTGACATGAACCACAACTACTGGATAAAAAAAGTTAACAGCGCTGCATGAACACCTAGCGCCACAATTGAACCAGCTACTAGCAACAGGCTCCCACCCTGACTGGCTAACTCAAAGCACAACAATACTGGTCATGAAGGACCCTCACAAGGGAACAGCACCATCCAACTACTGACCAATAACCTGCCTCACCACAACATGGAAACTCCTGTCAGGAATCATAGCCTCCAAGATCCAAGGATATATGAGTCAATATATTAGCAATACTCAGAATGGGATTGGAAACAACACAAGAGGATCAAAACACCAACTACTGGTAGACCAAGCAGTCGCAAGGGATTCTAAGACCAGACAGACCAATCTGTGCAGCACCTGAATTTACTACAAGAAAGCCTATGACACAATGCCACACACATGGATACTGGAATGCTTGGCTCTCTACAAGGTCAGCAAGACAATAAGAGCCTTTATCAAGAACTTGATGGTCAAGTGGGAAAACGACTCTAGAAGCCAATCCCAGGACAATAACTCAAGTGAACATTAAATGTGGCATATACCAAGGTGATCCGCTATCCACAATGCTGTTCTGCACGGGCCTCAAACCACTTAGCCGAATCATCAAGAAGAGGGGATATGGATACAGGTTCAAGAGTGGAGCTACCATCAGCCACCTACTCTACAGAGACATTGACTCACTGATCCACAGCCGGACAAGAAGTGTTGGCGGATGATAGCAAAAAGAGGGAAGATGATCAGGATAGGAGTTGAAGTTCCAGAAGGCCAAATAGAAGATGTAGAGAACAGCTACAAGTACCTGGGGGTACCACAAACGCATGGCAACCATGAGGAAGAGGCAAGGACGATAGCAACACCCAAGTACCTCCAAAGAGTCAGACAGGTCCTGAAGTCCCAGCTCACTGGCAAGAACAAGATCCAAGCCATCAACACATATGCCCTACCGGTCATCAGCTACCCAGCTGGAATAATAACCTGGCCAAGAGAAGAACTGGTCACCATGGATATCAAGACCAGGAAACTACTCACTATGAATGGAGGATTCCACCCGAAATCCAGCACCCACAGACTGTACACCTGCCGGAACGAAGGAGGTCGGGGCCTGATGAGTGTCAAGGCCACAGTCCTGGATGAAACCGAGCATCCACAAGTACATCACGAAGATTTCTTTCAAAGATGAATTGCTAAGGAAATGCCTCAGACTTCCACAGATTGAGGATGCAGAAAAAGAGGAGGTTCCTTGACAAGACAAACCTCTTATGGGGTGTACCACCGGCAGACAGTGGATGTGGCTCACATGACAAAATCCTACCAGTGGTTGGAAAAGGCAGGACTGAGGCGCTAATCCTAGCAACACAGGAGCAGGCACTCTGCACCAGATCAATAGAAGCTGGAGTCTACCACACGAGGCAAGACCCAAGCTGCAGACTGTGCAAAGAGGCCTCTAAGACAGTCTAGCACCTAGTAGCTGGATGCAAGATGTTAGCAGGAACAACATACATGGAGAGACACAACCAAGTTGCTGGGATTGTGTACTGAAATATCTGCACAGAATATGGATTGGACCTGCCCAAATCCATATGGGAGAAACCACAAAGGGTAGTTGAGAAGGACCGGGCAAAGATGCTGTGGGACTTCAAGATCCAGACATCGTGGTGCTAGACAAGGAATGAAATTGCAGTCGTGGTGGATGTGGCAATACCCAGTGACTATAACATTACGAAGAAGGCACATGAGAAGGTGGACAAATACCAAGGACTGAAAGAAGAACTAGAAAGGATGTAGAAAGTGGAGGCAGTAGTAGTCCCAGTTGTGATAGGAGCACTTGGCGATGTGACTCCCAAGTTGGGGGAGTGGCTTCAACAGAATCCAGGTGGGACATCGGAGATCGCTGTCCAGAAGAGTGCAGTACTAGGAACCGCTAAGATGTTGCGCAGAACCCTCCAACTTACAGGCCTGTGTTAGTGTCTGATTTTCACAGTGAGAAGACGCCAGCGTCCATAGGAAAACATTGTAAATGCTTTCCTATGAGACTGGCTGAATGCGTGCTTGGCTCTTGCCGTGCATGTGCATTCAGCCGAAGAGGAGGCGGAGAGGAGGAGGAAAGCTCCCCGCCCAGCGCTGGAGAATGAGGTAAGTTTAACCCCTTCCTCTCCATCCAGCCCGGCGGGAGGGAGACCCTGAGGGTGGGGGCACCCTCAGGGCACTATAGTGCCAGGAAAACGAGTATGTTTTCCTGGCACTATAGTGGTCCTTTTAAGTGTTCTGACTGAGGTCGCGGGATCACTGCTGTCAGATCCAAGCACACAGTGTTCCCTGTCATCTTATTCTGGGTCTTGACGTCATCTAACATTAGCTGGAAGACGCATTAAAGATTGATGGTGGCATCTATAGATTTATCACAAATTATGCATTGCATAATAGGGATCGACCGATTATCGGTCTGGCCGATATTATCGGCCTCTATTTGGTATTTTTGGCAATATCGGTATCGGCCAATTCAGATACCGATATTGCCGATAATATATAACAGGTCCTGTGGGGGCCAGCAGCAAGCACTGACTTACCTTGCATGCAGCTCCTACAGCTCTCTGTGTAAATCTCGCGAGACCCGCGGCCGCAGAGCGTTGCCACGGGTTACCATGGCAACGCTCCGCGCGGCACTAAGAGCCGCGAGATTTACATAGGGAGCTGTAGGAGCTGCTTGCAAGGTAAGTCAGCGCTTGCTGCTGCTGAGCCACCACTGTACTTAACAAGCCACTGGACCACCAGGGGATACTATATCCCCCTCCCTGGTAAGAAGCAGGGAGGGGGGACTAAACAAAAAATAAAAAAAACATTTCAATATTAAAAAAAATATTAAAATAAAAAATTACACAAATTACATCACTACACACACACACACACTGCACACATACTGCATTACATACACACTACACAAACACACACTACACAAACACACACTGGGGGGGGACTAAACAAAAAAAAACATTTAAATATTAAAAAAAATATTAAAATAAAAAATTACACAAATTACATCACTACACAAACACACACTGCACACATACTGCATTACATACACACACACACACACTGCATTACATACACACACTACACAGACAGACACTACACACACACCACAAACACACACTGCACACATACTGCATTACAGACACACACTGCACACACTACACTGCACACACACTGCATTACATACACACTACACAAACACAGTACACATACTGCATTACATACACACACACTACACAGGCACACTGCATTACATACACACTACACAAACACACACTGCACACATACTGCATTAGACACACTGCACACACTACACTGCACACACTGCATTACATACACACTGCATTACATACACACTACACAAACACAGTACACATACTGCATTACATACACACTACACAGACACACTGCATTACATACACACTACACAAACACACACTACACAAACACACACTGCATTACATACATACACACTACACAAACACACACACACTGCATTACATACACACACAAAAACACACTGCATTATACACACACTACATAAACACACTGCATTATATACACACTACACACACTGCATTATATACACACACTACATAAACACACTGCATTATATACACACTACACACACTGCATTATATACACACACTCTGCATCCACTACACACACACACACACTACACAAACACACACAGTTCCCCTGTCTAAACACACTTCATCCACTACATGTGGCATGTATATTTTGTGCATTTACCTTTCGAATTAGTTTATTTATTCAAAATAGTAAATGTACAGAATATCGGCAAGATATCGGCTATCGGCCTGAAAGTTCGCAGATTATCGGTATCGGCTCTAAAAAATCAATATCGGTCGATCCCTATTGCATAATGTTGTGGGGATATTTATGGGATAATAATAGTAACAGTGAGAATTGCCCACTAATTCAATTCTCAGATCCCAAAGAACGTTTATCGTGTTAAGTGGAATGTATTTCATATAATTAATATCACAATGTATAAAATAGATTTTATTTATGATAACCAATAATTAACAAATAATATTATGTAACATGCATAACAATAATCAATGAATATCCAGTACAAAATTATATGCAATACAAAGAAATGGGTATTACGTTTCAATGGCTAACTAGCATTTTCTGTCAAGAATTCTGACGATTTATGACTAGCTTTCACAGACTGAAAGTGAAACTTTTCACACAGAGAACAGAATTCCTCAGAGTGCAGCGTAAGGTCGTAAAGTTTAGCAGACAGTTAGAATAACCCTTTCAATGCTGGCTAGATCTCCTAGGTAGTTAAGATCTACTCTTATGTAATTTTTAAATAAAATAACATTTTAACCAGTTCATTAGTCATTTCCTGAAAAATCATCCAATAAGAGAATTTACCATTATATAAGCAGATTTTTAATTTGTCTAAAAGATATCTATCTTAATTTAGAGCAAATCAATACACCTGGATAAAAACAGCGGTATGCTAACACGTGATAATATCACATCAATATATAATTATTCTTAATTCCACCTGCAGAATGGAATGTTTATAACTATATATTCTTAGTTAACTAAGATTTCTTAATATGGAAATCTGACCGTGCTTTATCCAGTCATATATAATGCTATTAATACATTTTAATTAATTTAATTTAATTAAATGAAACCAGTATAATTACCAGTTGAGTAGATATTTCATCCGATTGGTAGTCTCAGGAATTTATTTGGATGTGTCTCTGCATGGAGGTTGGAGTCCCCAAACTTCCAATTCCTCTCTTTTCTCTCCTTTGCATATCTTGCATCTGCCTCTTGCATCTGCCTCCTTCGTATTTCTCTATCTTCCCTTTGTCTTAACTTTTAAAGGGCCAGACTCTCTGTACGTCATCAGTTGATAACCCAATAGAAGCACTAGAGGTGTGGTTATCTTCCAGATCGCAAATTAGTTATTTGGTCTGTAGAGGGCAGTCTTGTCCCACTAAACATACCTATCCAGGAAAGAGTTAACTTTTCCTGGTGGCTATTTTGACGTCATTTTGGCCTATCTAGATAGTGGCTATAACTTACATATCCTTCAAAGATCAAAGGGGTTCTTAAATTTTGTCCAGACTATGTGTCTGCAAATCTGCTATAATTTCTGATATGACAGATCATGAACTAAGTTTACCCTTTTCCATACAATGATACCTTATATATATAGACAGTTAAATATTAAATTATTTAATCTTCTCTGTCACAATTGTCTGGGTTTAGATTTGATTATATTCCATTAGCATTAGACAGTCTGTCCAACCCCCTTCCTTATCACTTGGCTTGTATATACTATGCATTCCTCAGCTCTGGCAAAGAGGCCAGTCTTACAGAAAGAAATCCTGTGTCTCTTTGTCTTTGTTAACTTGGAATAACAAAATGGAGTCTGGTCTGTTCAGAGTGACTCAGAATATACACTTTTAGTTTCTATCTTAGCACAAAATGTCTGCCGATATAAATACCCTGACAATGTATAGAAAGCATTTGATATTCCTCCAGATTCAATGTAATTACATCTCAACACAGGAGTGTGTGATGTACATGTAGCACCAAAAGGTGTCAGTAAAGGGTCAAGGGCGAGACATACTGGCTGTCAGTGGACTCGGCAAATAGGTAAAATGGAGCAGTATAGCCCCTTTTCACTTGTTGGTATTTTTAACAGCCTACATTTTTATTTAACCCTTTTGTGTACCGGTAAGTTGGGCAATAGTAACCTTTTGGAATCTGCTCCGGATTCATTTAAAATTCAAGGGTGTGCACGGAGTCACTTTTCAGGGGTTAAAACAAATCTCTGCATAAAAATATTGATTTTGCAGCCATCACTTTCTGCATGTGTCTCTTTTTTACAGAATGCATACACCTTTCATCTTTCTTCCTCTTTAAAATAAAATGAACAAGATATTCATTCCTTGGGGCTATTTCCTGCTTAGTGCTGCAGTTCCTCTTACCTTTCATACCCCCTCTCCCATTCCCTCTTATTTTCCTTATATGCTTTCCCTGATGGCTCTGGTACTCCCTTCTCCTGTAAATGATGTGCTCTAAATCAATTTCTACAGCCCATCTGTGACACGCAGCATATTCTTTGTGCCTATCCTCACTCAGTGGAAACCTGCAGAGACAGAATCCTGGGACTGACTGATCTATGGGAACATTGATTCTGTCCTCAGAAATTAGGTTAGTGTGTACATAAAGCACTCGTGTTTACTGGCGACATGCAGATATTGGAGTTTAATTTCCTTAGTAATTGAATGCTAGGTTTCTTTCATATCAGTGCTCATATGTTCTTTCATTTGCGTTTCTGTTAAGACATATTTGTTGCTGAAATGAATACCTGCTGTGTGTAATATTTTCATGAGAAAAAACATGGGCAGAATTCAAATGATTGCAGGGCATTAAACTTCCACAGTTTAAAGGGACACTATAGTTACCAGAACAACTGCAGCCTTCATAGAAAAGGCAGTGTTTACATGGCTCCCTTGCGACACCTTCAGTGGCAGTTACACAGACGGCCCTAGAGGTGCTTTCTTGGTCATTGTGCAGCACTAACGTTCAGCGTCTCCACACTCTGAGAAGATGCTGATTGGCCAATACAGTGTTTGGCTACGCCCATGTCCCACCCGCTTGGCTGAGAGCAGAATTGACAATCTCAGAATGGGAGAGCATTGGATTGGCTGAGATCATCAATTTTGATGATCTCAACCATGGAGACTGATTGGGAGTGGGGCCAGCACTGGCACACCCACGCAGTGCTGGAATAAAGGTGAGTTTTCCTTTAAAGGTGGCAAGCAGGGCTGGCCACCTAAATAGTGTTTTTTAAAACTATAGGCTCAGGAGTACACATTTGACCCTATAGAGTTTCTTTAAGCATCATAAATACTCTAACCCGCTGTAGTGGTTATGATTCCATCCCGTTCCCGTTAATGGGGCATACTATTTAGTAATAGTTTGCCCTTTTACCTGGGTCTCCATTGGATCCCTTGGCTCATTTCCAGTCAGTTGACAAGCTTCTGCAGAAGCTTGGAGCCGATCAAGTCATCATTCATTGAATGAGACTGTCAGATAAACACTCACAGCCAATGAATGGAACACTGTGCATTAAAAAGTGCACACAATTGACATTTATTAGCATGCAATTCTAATTGACGACCCAAAATTCTAGCAAATTGACACTCTAATGCAGTTGGAGTTACACATCTGGCAGCAAAGGGGTTAAACTCTATGCGCAAAGTGCAGTGTTTCTTACTGAATTGCAGCACATACAGACTCCAAGCGCCATGACCATGTCAAAACACTGAAGTGGTTATGGTGCTTGGAGTAACCCTTAAACTGGTGAATCCCAATCCTTAACATTCCTCACATTGCTGATTTTCTAAGAGCTAAAATGTCACGGTTACCATTAGCACTACCCTTATTGCCAGCCAGTGATCAAACTAGTATTTTTGGAAGCTTTAAATTACAAGGTTTTCCAAAGATTTTGAAATTTAATTGAAATGTTCTATTACTGTATAGAGTAAAGAATCTCTGTTTTGTGAATAAATAGATTTTTCAAGCTGTCTATAAACTGTTTTCTTTCGGCTGACAAATGAAAAGCTAAGCGAATGAGGAGGAAACTATATTTTAGTTTTTTTTTTTTTTTTATTCTATATGAGGAATTCTGAATTCCTTGAGGGAATCCACAAATGATTGGGTTATGTATGTCTCTCTTGTTTGCGTTGTGCCATCGTTTGCTGGAATGTTTAACCTTTTTTGTGTGCTTGAGGAGTTTTTGTATTTTTAGGAGTCTGAGTAAACTTATGTGTTTTTGATGAACACAGCTGATGGCCATTCTTCTCCTCTTTTTGTTATTTGGATTCATGGTTTGAGGACAGAACTAGCCCCATGGGAATTGCCTGCAGGTTGGATGAGTGGAATGTTAAAGGGCCTTTTTTTGGGTGGGGGGGTGCTCATTTACCAAACTTTATCTGTGGATTTAACCATAAAGAATGTACTCTTCAGGAGAATCAAAAGCTTTAACGTGACCACTCTCAATTGTGTATTATATATTAAAGCGAACCTGTTATGATTAAAGCAACTCGCCTGAAATGGCTCCGATATACGTTGAATACACCATATATCAAAAACATAGTGTATTCAGTGTAAAATATAAAGATTTACTCAATTTTCCTTCCTTCCAGTGCCTCTTTGTGGGTGTTACTTTTTGTATAACACCTACCTCCTGAACGTTCTCTTCTTAGCCTCAGCTCCTCCTACAGGCTTCTTTGATTTTCCCTGCTTGGGATGCATCCCCAAGGAGGGTGAGTTTTGTCAGTGACATTGACACCTTTGCTTCATTGCCAGCATTGGAACAGATTGATGTCCCGCCACTCCATTCGTATACTTTCTAGCCAGAGCTAGAAGCACCGGCTAGGGAGTTTCCATAGTAACCACAGCGCATGCACTGTGGTTACTATGGGAGGAGAGCAGAGGGACCTCCTGTGCAAGGCCTTTTCTGCCCTACCTTGTCACTCAATGTCAAAATAGCCTTTTCTCCTAATCTTTATATTTGCTAGCAAAACGTCTAGCAAAGTATGTCAATCGAATGAGCATAATAAGTTGTTTGGGGCATGACTGGTGCATTTTTAATCATCTGCAAGATA